CTCAGGAGGCTGAGGCAGGAGAATCGCTTGAACCCAGGAGGCAGAGGTTGTGGTGAGGTGAGACTGCGCCATAGCACTCTAGCCAGGGCAACAAGGGCAAAACTCCGTCTCAAAAAAAAAAAAAAAAAAAAATTCACTGTCCTAGTTTAGAGTTAGTGGCAAAGGACACAAACCATACCCTTAACCTTGAGCAAGAGTGCTTAATACACCTGAGTACTCTATGATTATCTCAATGAATATGGAATTTTTATTTGATTATATATGAGGTAAATCAGGAGGAGGGTGTTTACCTGGTTCCAAAGAAATCTGAAAGCTTCTTCTTGTACAAATTTTTTAACACGTTCTTCATCTCTTTCTTTTCGTAACCTACAATAATTCAAAACACATTATTGACGTAAGGAAGAGTGCTTTGACTCATACTTCCTGTTACAACTAATAAACGCATGCATTGTAAATAGATTAATAATCTAAGTTATCTTTACCATTGTTACAATATCTAACTTAAAACCTTATTTTATTTTTATTTTTTTAACTTCAGAATCAAAATGGAACAGTTTTATAAGTGGCATCACAAAACTTAATTTTGAACTGTGACTCAAAGTAGAAGCCAAATGAGATATGACTGAAATTCAGGTATTAGTTCTACAAATTATTTCCAGTAATAAGAAATAAAATGTTAAAATGCTTTTTGTCTGGCTTCAATTTCTCAGCCAAACATACCAAAGGAACAGAAAGTGCAAAAAGGAGTGGTTACCCAAAGCATCCAAAACGATGAAGGGTCACACTTAAGTACTCATGATCACAGCCTGAAACACTCTCTCCTAAAGACTAATCCCATCAAACTTCGCTTTTCTGTGTGTGCAGGTCTCTGATCTACTGCTTGCTGACAAGAGACCTCCCATCCATTATTCCTCATTCATTAAAGTCTTAGCTCTGGGCTCACTGCTGTTCTCTCCATACTTAGGATTTTCACAAACCTAAGGCTCCTCCTTTAGTGATCCATTATCACCCAAACTGTCAACAGCATTTTGTTTCACACCTCTGACCCAATTACCCACTTTCTATAGCCCCTCAAGCCTTTCTCCTATGCCATCTAGAGCTCTTGAATTATAATCCGCAAACTCACTTACATACTTCACCTCTCTCTAAACTTTTCCTTGTCCAAAGCAGATCCACTTCTGAGAGCACTATAGCCCTCTAAGTGGAAGCTATTTTTCCCTCACACTCATCAGGGTTGGAAGATTGCTTCTCACTGCAGTTTTCAAATGATTCTTCATCTCCCTCCTTTAACTCCTGCCATCCTGCAATTTCCCAAAATTCTTTGTCAAGTACTGACCTCTCACCCTCCGCTCCCGTTCACTGAAGTCTCAGCACCAGGCTTTCTCTTTGCCCCACTCCTGTCATCATTTTTGGAGACTTCAACATTCACATGGATGCTCTAACAATAATCCACCCAATGTCAGTCACCCATTGTCATAGTCTCACTCTAGGCCAAATCATTTGACAGCACCACTATCAGAAGTGGTTCTAAACACCCAACACCAACCACTACTTCCTATCCTCCCAGTTCACTTGCTGTTGTACCCCACTGCAACAGTCTAGACCTCCAGTCTAATGATCCTTCCCTCCTGCCTTCACTTCCCTCTTACCGCATTTAAAATTCCACCCAGGCCAGGCACAGTGGCTCACACCTGCAATCCCAGCAGTTTGGGAGGCCTAGGTGGGCGGATCACCTGAGGTCAGGAGTTTGACAGCAGCCTGGCCTACACGGTGAAACCTCATCTCTACTAAAAACCCAAAAAAAAAATTAGCCAGGCGTGGTGCCAGGTGCCTATAATCCCAGTTACTTGGGAGGCTGAGGCAGGAGAATCACTTGAATCTGGGAGGCAGAGGTTGCAATGAGCTGAGATAGTGCCATTGCACTTCAGCCTGGGTAACAAGAGCGAGACTCCATCTCAAAAAAATTTTGGAAAAAATAAAAATAAGTAAAATTTCAGCCAGCAAGGTGACTCACACCTGTAATCCCAGAACTTTCGGAGGCTGAGGCAAGAGCATTGCTTTTGCCCAGGAGTTCAAGAATAGCCTGGGCAACATAGACTTCATCTCTAAAAGAAAAGAATTTTTTAATTAGCTAGGCATGGTGGTGCATGCATACAGTCCCAGCTACTTGGGAGCCTGAAGTGAGAGAATCACTTGAACCTAAAAATTCAAGGTTACAGTGAGCTATGATCATGCCACTACACTCCCGCCTCAGTAACAGAGTAAGACCCTGTCTCAAAAAAATATAAAATCTAAGATCTATCGTTATTACTTCCTCTGAAATATCTTTAGCTCTCTTGCCCTTCCCTCACTCTCTCCACAATATCACCTAGGAAAAAAAAATAATTTCTGGCTTAACCAAATGAACCATGCCTGCATCAGAAGAGAATAGCTAAGAATTGCTGATGAAAATCATACAACCTGATCTATTGCTTTGCACTTTTAAGTGTTTTCTCACATTATCCAGCAACCTTCCTCCATTTTCCTCATAAGGTCATCTTTAAGATGACCACCTCACACCTCATACTTCTCTCCTTACACCTCCTTCACTCCTCTTCTACTTATTTGCAGGTTTTGACCACATCTTACACATTATTGAAAAAGAAGCAGCATCAGACAGGACTTTTTCCCATCTCCACCGTCAAGCCTACTACCTTACCTGCTCCTGCTCCTATCTCAGGCCACTTCCTCTGCTTCGATGCTGCATTTCTTCTCCTCTTCCCTTCTCAAGAAATGCAATCCTGCTCTTCCTCTCCTTTCTGTTTTTTTTTTTGTCACACCATCAGTGTTTCCCTCCTTATATTATTTATTCCATTAACACATGAACACATTCTATATCTCATCCCTAAAAAAGAATATTTCTTCACTCTAGATTCTCCTCCAGGAACCACTGACTCTCTTCTCCACAAAACAACTCTTTCCAAGAATTGGCCACACTCATCCTTCAAACTCTTTACCTCTAATTCACTATTCAACCCATCTCAAAATGGCCTTCATCCCTCTACACCACTGAAGCTGCTCTTGGGAAGGTCCTTGTGCAGTAAAGGGTTAACTCAGCAGGAGTGGAATGTTCTTTTTTTTGTTGTTGTTGAGACAGCGTCTCACTCTGTTGCCCAAGATGGAGTGCAGTGACACGATCTTGGCTCACTGCAACCTCCACCTCCCAGGTTCAAGTGATCCTCCTGCCTCAGCCCCCTGGTAGCTGGGATTACAGGCACTTGCCACCATGCCTGGCTAATTTTTTTGTATTTTTAGTAGAGATGGGGTTTCACCACGTAGATCAGGCTGGTCTCGAACTCATGACCTCAGGTGATCCACCCAGTGGCCTCCCAAAGTGCTGTGATTACAGGCATGAGCTACCGTGCCCAGTCGCAGGATTGGGATGTTCAATGCTGTACATTGCAAATTCTATGTTTAGAATTATAGATCCCTATAAAGTTCACGTTCATTGAACATTTATTGCTACACTGCATCTATGTATCAAGTGTTTTGCTGGGGATGGAGATGGAGCAGATAGAGCCAACAGTCTCTGTAGGAGACAAGCAAACCAACAGTGGCTACATGCTGTGAAAAGTGTTATAATTACAGAAGCACAGTGTTCTCAATCATCTGTAAGAGTCTGACAGCCCCAAACCAACAAAACAGTGCATCAACAGCACTTCTGACCCACCTCCTTATTTCATCAGTTAAGCAGACAATGTGCTCCTGCATTCTGCGCAGCCGGATTTCATAACGCACATCTTTGGCTTGAGGGTTGTAGTTCCTGGCATAAAAGCCCCGCCAACAGGCCTGAAGCTTGGTGGCTGCATCATTTAATTTCTGAAGAGCAACTTTATCTTGTCCCAAAGCAGCAGATCTCTGGGTTAAAACCATGCAAGGAAGTTTCTCCGAAGTTGCTTTAGATATGGTTTCTTTATTTTCTGGTTGTATATGGGAGACGCTGTGTCCAGCTGACTCAGGAAAAAATGTAAGACTGTCGTTATCATCCTTCAAGACAGAGCTGATTATTGTTGGCTCAGGACAAGGAGAAAGCCCAACTGTCTCATTTACCTCTGTACTGATCTCACTTTTCATCATTTGAACCATATTCTCATTTGCAGCCCATAAAGGCTTTTCTTCTTCCTTATCCAATACCTGGCTTTCCATCCCTTTCACAGAGTCATCTGCAACACCATCATCTTCTAGGCCCAAGTTAATGCCTTGCAACCGCAGCTCAACTGTAGGTGATACTGGAGATAGTCCTGATGCAACTGGCATAAAAGTAGACTCTGAAGAGAGAAGACTACAATTTAACTTGTCCTCATCTGTCTGTATGTCTTCCAGGTGCAGCTCATTTCGAGAATATCTTGTAGTGTGTACAGAGGCTGGAAAATTATTCTTAATCGCAAATAACTGATCGTCATTACTGCTTATCCCAACCCAAGAATTGACTTGAATGACGGGTTCTAGAAGAATCAACAGAGTGTCATTTAAACCACTAAATATTTACATTTTAGTTATGTCCTTTTAATGAAATCTAATCCTTGAAATAGGGTAGAATGCAATAAAATGCCCTCAGTGATTTCTTCCAATATGCCTAAAACATCAAACCAAACCTCTTTAAGAAAATGAATTCTCGTGATAATCATAAGAATAATCAAAGCATCAGGTCTATACAAATGGTAGCAGTCCTTGAAATGTTTCTTAAAATTAGAAATATAGTAATTATAATATACATACTTATATGTAAGATCTAAATTATTACTAAAGTCAGCAAACTAACAAAAAATTATGAAAATATGCACCTTTTTCTGCTTCATGATACCCAACAAATTAAATGACTTGGAGAAAAGGGATCAGAGAGAAATTAATTTCTTACCACTTTCCTGGGATATCTGGCAATCCTGAACAGGGCTTGAATGCTCAGGAATAAGGGATGCCCTGGTTTCAACAGGAACAAGAGGAGACAACTCTTCGTTTTGGCTTTGGTTCATCAATTGCCTCTGGTGAAACCTAAAAATCAATAACATCTGGTCTGATTTAACACAAACCAAAAAAAGATTTTCTGCTTCCTAGGTAACAATGTCAAAAAGGTAGAATTTTTTTTTTTTTTTGAGACAGAGTTTCACTCTTGTTACCCAGGTTGGAGTGCAATGGCGCGATCTCGGCTCACCGCAACCTCCGCCTCCTAGGTTCAGGCAATTCTCCTGCCTCAGCCTCCTGAGTAGCTGGGATTACAGGCACGCGCCACCATGCCCAGCTAATTTTTTGTATTTTTAGTAGAGACGGGGTTTCACCATGTTGACCAGGATGGTCTCGATCTCTTGACCTCGTGATCCACCCACCTCGGCCTCCCAAAGTGCTGGGATTACAGGCTTGAGCCACCGCGCCCAGCCAAAAAGGTAGAATTTTACAAGTTCTCAAAGTAGGCACTTTTAATCACTGTAAAATTCAAAGCGTCATTTGAAAGAACTGGATAAAGAGGGTTAAGAAAACTTATTTTTTTAATTGCCAAGGTAGACATCCTCCTATGCACACATACACACATACAAAAACATTTAAAGGCAGGATCTCTGATAAAGTAAATATTAAATGCTTCTGGCAATGCTTTTTCTCTTTTTTTTCACTGTACCTTTTAAAGGCAGACATACCTCATAATGTACGTATTCAGAAATCCACAAGAAACACCAACATTAAAGAACAAATAAGTTGGGCACGGTGGTGCACACCTGTAATCCCAGCACTTTGGGAGGCCGAGGCACACGGATCGTTGGAGCTCTGGAGTTTGAGAACAGCCTGGGCAACATGATGAAACCCCATCTCTAAATATCATAAAACATTAGCCAGAGCGTGCTGGTGCGTGCCTACAGTCCCAGCTACTTGGGGGTCTGAAGTACAAGGATCTTTTGAGCCCAGGAGACTGAGGATGCAGTGAGCTGAGATCACACACTGTGCTCCAGCCTGGATGATAAAGTGAGCCCAAACGCAATGGCTCATGCCTGTAATCCCAGCACTTTGGGAGGCCAAAGCAGGCAGATCACCTGAGATTAGGAGTTCAAGACCAGCCTGGCTAACATGGCGAAATCCCATCTCTACTAAAAATACAAAAATTAGTTGGGCGTGATGGCACACGCCTGTAATCCCAGCTACTCGGGAGGCTGAGACGTGAGAATCGCTTGAACCAGGAGATGAAGGTTGCAGTGAGCCAAAATCACACCACAGCACTGCAGTCTGGTGACTGAGACTCTGTCTCAATTTAAAAAAAAAAAAAAAAAAGAACAAATACATTTTTTAAGAATCCCATCCCATTTCCTGGCCAGATATAGTAGCTCACACACATACTCCTAGCACTTTAGGAGGCAAGGCAGGAGAATTGCTTGAAGCCAAGAACTTAAGATCAGCCTGAGGAACAAGGTGAGACCCCATCTCTACAAAAAATTAGCCAAGCATGGTGGCATACACCTGTAGTTTCAGCTGCGGTGAGTTATAATTGTACAGCTGTACTCATAGACCAAGAGACCAAGACCCTGTCTTTAAAACAAAAAACAAACAAACAAAAAACTCTCCATTCCCCCATGCCATATTGTTTGGCTGTCTGCAGTACACGGTTCAGCTTCCCTGCAGGAATTGCTACAGTGACAAGGGGACTGATTATCCAGAAATATGGCCTGTAGCACTTGCCTCAGGCCTACTAACACCATAGCAGAGACTCAGAGGTATTTTAACTTGTGAATTCATCAGCTGTTAGAAATAAATGGGCTTACCTCTGTTTGCTCAAAATCTTCTCTAGTTTGGCATCCTCTGCAGTTTGAAGACCTAGTGTAGAAGTGAGGGGGCAGACTGTAGCCAGATACTGGACAAGCTGGATGTGTTGGCCAGGCCGATATGCTCTCCCCTTGCCTTGACTATAGAGCCATTCAGCTTTCAAGCTGGAATTCAGGAACATAAAGGAGAGGAGATGGCACAAGTCGAGTCAACACATACTGTCAGGCAATAATGATCTTCCTTCTTAACTTACCTTTATAGCACCACTGGATGCTTTTAATAAATAAAATTCACTCAAGTTTTTTTTTTTTTAAATCAATCACTCTGACTCATATTCCTCATTCTAATGTTTCAAACCCTTTTTCTTGCTTAGGGGCACTTCCATAGAGCTTCCACTAATGGTGCCAAATATTTTTAAATCATTTTCAAGAAAGCAATGAGTATTCTCTTCATTCGCTCTGTCAAACTGAAATGCTTAAATAGATCAACTGCATTTAAATCCATTAGTTCATAATGACAGTTAAAAAAAAAAAAAGTAGCCAGGCATGGTTGCATGTGCCTGTAATCTCAGCTACTCATGGTGGCTCACACCTGTACTTTGGGAGGCCAAGGCGGATGGATCACAAGGTCAGGAGATCAAGACCATCCTGGCTAACACAGTGAAACTCTGTCTCTACTAAAGATACAAAAAAACCAGGCATGGTGGCAGGCGCCGGCGGTCCCAACTGCTCAAGAGGTTGAGGCAGGAGAATCGCTTCAACCCAGGAGGCGGAGGTTGCAGTGAGCCGACATCGCGCCACTGAACTCCAGCCTGGGTGACAGAGCGAGGCTCCATCTCAAAAAAAAAAAAAAAAAAAAAAAAAAAGGATATTAGCTAGGTACAGTGGCTCACATCTATAATCTCAGCATTTTGGGAGGCTGAGGAGAGAGGATCCAATGAGCTCAAGAGTTCCAGACCTGACTGGGAAACATAGCAAGACCCCATATCTACAAAAAAGTTTTAAAAATTAATCAGGCTAATGTTTTTTGGTGGCATGCACCTGTAGTCCCAGCTACTTGGGAGGCTGAGGCAGAAGAATGGCTTGAGCCTGGGAGGTTGAGGCTGCAGTAAGCTGTGATCATGATATTGCACTCCAGCCTAGACATTAATGTGATAACCCATCTCTAAAAACTAAACATAATTTCTAGCACTAGGAATTTCTCCTTAAATAAATAATTTTAAAAAGGAATATTGGGCCCGGCGCAGTGGCTCACGCCTGTAATCCCAGCACTTTGGGAGGCCAAGGCGGGTGAATCACGAGGTCAAGAGATCAAGACCATCCTGGTGAAACCCCGTCTCTACTAAAAATACAAAAAATTAGCTGGGCATGGTGGCGCATGCCTGTAATCCCAGCTACTAAGGAGGCTGAGGCAGAAGAATTGCCTGAACCCGGGAGGCGGAGGTTGCAGTGAGCCGAGATCGTGCCATTGCACTCCAGCCTGGGTAACAAGAGCGAAAGTCCGTCTCAAAAAAAAAAAAAAAAAAAGGAATATTAACTTTCTCCAAAGTTCTGCTCCCATAAGATCTCTCTCTAAGCAACAGACTTATAGCTTTGGGCAAGGTCCTGTCAAGAGTAAAACAGAGTTCTGAACACATTCAGAAAGAATTCCAAACACTGAGGTGCTACACAGATGCTCAACTCCCCACAGGTATGCTTAACTCTGAGAAACTACCCAGCCAAAGCAACCACAAGGTTTGGTTACTGCTCAAGTTACTCTTGGGTGACACATACACTCAAATCAAGATCCAGCTACCTGACATTATCAAAGAATCTAGGATACATTTGACAGCGAAGAATTTTAACTTGGATGTTCTTAGCAAATAACACCCAGGATGAGCAGACTTTAAAACCTGAAAATTCCCTCCTGTCCTTCAGGGCAATTCTCAATGTTGACCAGGAAAATATTTTGATCATTGCTCAGGCCAAACACCGATTTTTAAGGCAATAGCTCTCCCTTAGAATAATGTCTCCTTCCTGAACAGAATACTTCTGGAGTTGTTTTACAACATGGGAGCACTGTTGACAGACTACAACTGTGACAGCATTTCATCTCTAGTACAGCATCAACCATCTAGGTTCCTTAGTTTGAGTATAACTCTATCCATTCTTTTCTTTCGTTTTTTTTTTTTTTTTTTTTTTTTTTTGGCGACAGAGTTTTGCTCTTGTTGCCCAGGCTGAAGTGCGATGGTGCGATTTTGGCTCACTGCAACCTCCGCCTCCTGGGTTCAAGTGAATCTCCTGCCTCAGCCTTCCAAGTAGCTGGAATTACAGGCATACGCTACCACACCTGGCTAATTTTGTATTTTTAGTAGAGATGGGGTTTATCCATGTTGGTCAGGCTGCTCTCAAACTCTGGACCTCAAGTGATCCACCTGCCTCAGCCTCCCAAAGTGGTAGGATTACAGGCGTGAGCCACTAAAAAAAACATGCCCGGCCCTTTTTTTTTTCTGGAGAACTCTATCCATTCTTGTACAGCCTAACAAGCCATTATGAATAGGGCTGCTGTGAACATGCATGCACATGTCTTTTGGTAGATCTAAGTAGCTATTTCTATATGGCATACACCTGAATTAAAATTGCTGGATAATGGGGTACATATGTATGTTTAGTTTTTCAAAGTAGGTGTACCATTTATACTCCCCGAGTTTATGAGCGTTCCAATTGCCCCACATCTTTAGCAACACTTAGTATTCAGTCTTTTAATTCTGGTTAGTCTAGGCGGGTGCAGTGGCTCAGAAAGATGCTCGTCTCTCCATAGGTGTGCTTAACTCTCAGAAACTACTCAGTGAGGAGAGTAATCCCAGCACTTTGGGTGGCTGAGGTAGAAAGACTGCTCAAGCCCAGTAGGTCAAGACCAGCCCAGGCAAAACAGCAAGACTTTGTCTGTACTAAAAATTTAAAAACCAGCTGGGCACAGTGGCATGTGTCTGAGGTTCCAGCTACTTGGAAGGCTGAAGCAGGAAAGTCCCTTCAGCATAGGAGGTGAGATTGCAATGAGCTAGGATCATGCCACTGCACAACAACAGAGCCTGGGCAACAGAGCGACACTCTATCTTAAAAACAACAACAAAAAAACGAGAAACAGAGAGAAATCAAAACTACTGGGGAAAGAGAGGACCCACTGAGAACCATCCCAGCAACCCATCCACAGTCAGTCTTCCCTGGACACCATGAACCACATTGTGCAAACCCTCTTCACTCCTGCCAACAGCAGCTACTCTCTAACTATGAGATGCTGAGAGAGAAGCATGAGGTGGCCGTGCTGGGGGCACCCCACAAACCTGCTCCCCAACATCCACATCCACAGTGACACGTCCATGCCCGACCATGTCATCTGGTCCCTGTTCAACACCCTCTTCATAAACTCCTGCTGCCTGGGCTTCATAGCATTCACCTACTCTGTGAAGTCTAGGGACAGGAAGATAGTTGGTGACCTGGCTGGGGCCCAGGCCTATGCTTCCACTGCCAAGTGCCTGAATGTCTGGGCCCTGATTTGGGGCATCATCATGACCATTCTATTTATCATCATCCCAGCATTGATCTAGCAAATCTACCAACAGATCAGGAGGCAGCATCCAGGCCAGCAGCTCTGCCCATGACCTGTTTCCAATGAACTCCACCTTCCATTCCTTGCCCTATCCCCAGAGCCAAGTCCTGTATCAGCCCTTT